ATTTGATGATGATCCTTATTGTTAGCATGGTATTCTTGCTATGTTATATGTATACACATTTATGACATGTCATTTTATACAAAATCTTAAGACTTGGTGTATGTCTTAAGTAAGACTATTTTGTCAATTGAGTATGTCTCTGATTACATAATTTAAGAAAATCTTGTGATTTTAAGTTTAGAGACATACTAGCTTATTCTTGAAGTTAATGAATTTCTCTAACTTATTGTTGAAACATGTTGTTAAAGAGAAATCATTTGAAGGACTCACAATCAAAATAACATATTTATCAGATCATATATTGAGATGTTATATTCTTACTACACTATCACATCTTGATTCATGTCAATAGAAATATTATTTTTGGTAATCATGGATTGGTCCTATGTCAATAAAGAGTGTAAAGGTTGTATTGATTCGAAAATAGCAGTTTTATTGGACTGGGTTGTGTTTGAGATATATATATATATATATGAATTTATGGTCTAATGAGATAAGCCCAATATTATTAAGTGATATATTTTGATAGACTTATATACATCTTTTAATTGATGTGGTTGAGATGGTTAAGTGTAGACCTTAATATAATTATGGCCTGTAATGGAATAGTCCATTAGATTCATTATAAATAGTAGGCTAGGTTTTCTCTCCACTTCATAATTTGGCTTATCCCATTGATAACTGCCTGTTACTTTGAAGAAAGAGAGGATGACCTTACACTTTCAAGAAAAAAATTTAGAGATCGAGTATCATGACTCATACAGGTATGTTCTAAATCTTGTATATGATCTAAATCTTGAATTTAAGAGTTCTAAATTTCATATATGAATCATTAATCTAATACCCCTTCCCCTATTTTTCTCTACTTTCTCTATCTCGAACTCAATCATCACAACCGACGAATCGAGACCTCTGTTAGCTGCAAATGAGCTCTGAAGCCGTTTAATCAATGAATCATCATGTTATCCCCAAAACCTAATTTGAGGATTTAGCATTTCATCCAGATCGTTAATGGTGAGTGAGATAGAATGTGAGACCTGACCCATGCTTCAGATGGGAAGAAGATGGAACTGTTGGTGTCGGTGCTATAAACCCATTTTCAATCGTCAATTTCTCTACCAAGGTCTACATCTATTGGCAAGAGGTAGAAGATGGATAATAACTATTTTTCAATTTGAATTTCAAATTTTATGGAAAAAATCTTATTGACATGTCTCCATTGAGTGTAAATCAAGGGGTAACTAGTTCCCCAATTTAAAAACTATTTTCACATTAAAATATGTTTTGAACATAAAATAAGGACATTTTGCTATTAAAAAAAATTGGATTTAACTACTTAACAGATAATAATAGAACTTAATATTAAATATGTTGAAGGGATGGACTTAAGTCATTATAAGTTTTCTAAAAGGAATTGGCCCCCTAATTATCACTATCAGCAATTCTCCTAAGCTACTAATATTTTTGTCAAGGTTATTGGGCTATTACAAGATACTTATTTGTGAAAAAGTCCCCTCTAAAAAATATTTTGAAAAGAAGTTCATTTAATAGTGAAAAAAGACAGTTATAACCTTGTATACACTCTTTTAGGATGAGGATGCTCCGCTATTAACGGAAGCATTTTATGAGAATCAAGGGGATGATCTTCCTTTCAAAACTTAATCTTTAAATATAGCATTCACCCTCCCCCTAATCAAAATGGGTATTTAGGAAAAGATTTAAAATTCAAAAAATTCCTTCCACCGATATCATCATCTCAGAAAAGAGAGTTGTGAAGAACCTAACTTCCTAAAAAAAAGAGGGTTTTGAAAAACCTGTTCATATTCTACAAAGACAAATATATAATTTCAAGAATATAGTGTAACAACACACTGAACACTATTCTATTTGTCACACTGTGACAACTGATGTGCATTTTCGTTGTCTTATTGCTCCACAAGCTAACTGATATGCTTAACATAGTGTGACATCACAATGCGATATAAAAATAATGAGTTGGTTGTACCCAACACTGCTTGTCACACTGTAACAAACTCTGTGTCACAGTGTAACAACACACTAGAAACTAACATATGATACCACTGCTAAATAACAAGTATTACTGATTAACATTAGAAAATAATATGAAAAAAATAGTTGTTAACGTTAAATTCTACGCATTTGATATCAACACGTCGTTACATTAACATAGAACATATATACCCACACATGGTGTTGATATTTAACTGTAAAATCACAAATCTATTGAGACTTCTATGAAACAATACTCATAACAATATCTGAATAGAATTTCTTGAATGGAACGATTAAAATTACAATGATAATAGATGATGAGATTGCTGACTGATGAAAAAATCAATAATGACTTAGATAGAAAATTAAACGTTGACTAGGAAGAAGATGTATATTCAAAATTTAAATGTCCTCATCCATTAAAATAGGAATCTGTAGATATAATAAAATCAAATCTCATAAATAAGACAACTACCTAAAAACACTGTTCAAGAATTATAGAAAAAAAATATTTAGGTAAAGAAAATATTTAAAAAATTGTCAATGTTTATCTAGATACAGGACATTTACAATTAGGAGTACTTTTTTACACCAGAGTTTATGCATGATATTTTGTCACAAATAAGTAGTTTATATGGTACCTATCCACAAATTTTCAATGAATTTAACCGGTTCAAAATACAAACCGCATGTTTATTTGGGGCAATAGTTTTCCTTAAAATTTGAACCATCTAATATAGACACAAAAGTTTTTTGGGCCAACCATTGCACATAAGCCTTGTCTGATGTGGTCACATTAGTCCCTTTCTAACTAGCTTTTTAGTATGGATTATTGGGCCACACGAAAATTCGAATTTAACCCATCCAAATAACAACTCAACTCGGGTATAGGCATAGGCAAACCAAAATAACGAAAATTCGAATTGCAGCCCTTGGCAAACCAAAATGGTATAGGCCTAGGGTGGGCCTGGTATTGGCAGAAGTGGACATGTGACAATTATCATCGAAAGATATATAATCATTGTACATTAATTACTGAGATTGAAGCTTAAAATTAAATCGTTTAAAAATAAATAAGAAATTTTAAATATTACAATGATGCAATTGAAAGTTTAGTTACCGCGGAAGATTACATATATAATTCAGTGACTATCAGTACAATTTATCCAAATATTTATATATTATTCTTCACTAAGGAGTGAACACAAAAATGGGTATTTGTGTGTGTGTGTGTGTTTTGTTCGAGTAAATGTTGAATGCAACGGTGATACCGTGTCACAATTAATGACATGGTATCACTAACTAATAATAAAATCCCAAATGAGTAAGATGAATCCTATTTAGACTTAGATAAAGGAATAGTGAGAAGTTATTTGCATACATAGCAAAGTGGTAATTAATTTTATGTGGGGTCCATTTACTTATTTATTTTAATATTATTTATTGATAATACCATATTACATTGTCATGTGATATCATTGTTGTAATGAACATTTTCTCATTTTGTTGGGGGTGGGCAAAGCCGACTTGATTGGTGGGCCAACTAAGACATTGCTTCATAATAATTCTGTAAAATTTTCACATAATTTCTTTCAGATTGAGCTGACATTTGTTATGGTCATTATTAAATTCAAAAAATCTTCGTTCCAGAACCGTGAGTGAGATTTTCATCTCATACGGCTCCTCTCTTATATGCATAGTGAGAATAATAATAGAATTAAACAAAAGATTAAAATATTCTCATTATGAATTGAGGAAGGTTAGTGTTTTTACAAGAAATCTCTAGCCAACCTTCTTGCAGGAGATCTTTTCTTAACATCAAATGTGGTGGTACTAGATAGAAATGATAAGTCCAATAATTTCTTTGTTCTCAACGCCTCCTAATTTCCAAATATTAGGCACTTCAACAGTCTTCGATGGTTATACGGGTATCCAAAGTACAAACGAGATGAATGTTTGTTGTCTCAACCATTATTGTTAATCCTGAGCTAGATAAGGAAAGGGGTAATTTATAACAAAGTTTTTGTGTTGTTGATTCCTAGGTGTAGTGCTTCTTCCCCTATATTGCCTATTGATATTAGTGGAATAGGATTTGACCTGTAATAAATAACTCCTAGGTGTAACTTTTTGCTCAATACTAGAATCTACAATTAAAACATAACATCTAAGGTGACATTAATCGAGGATACACGATAGAAGGAATTGTTCTATTTCCAAACTTCACCTTCAACAAGCGTAGATTTATTTCCAATTTTTTTTTATCCTAATTCCGAATCATGTGTCTTTCTCGTAAGACCAGGAGAATAAATAAATAAAAGAATCAAATTGCAACAACTCTATAATATGTAAATGCCTCTTTTTCTCCTGAAGTTGTTGGAATTATTCATAATAAGATATTGGCTACAATTGAAAAGGTCTTATCAATAAAATTTTCCTTTATCCGCGATCTAGGCATAGGTAGCAATCCATTCTATAATTCTTCTCATTGCTTCTCATGAGAAAATGATCCCACAAAGAAAAGAATTGTACAATACGAAATAACATAAAAAAACCAATAAAAAATGATATGGACTTTCTGTTCAATAAAATTCTTCCTTTTTGACAAGAGACGATAAGAAATAAGAAAAATTGAAACCCAATTTGATTTCATCCTAATGTAGTAGTACATTGTAGTATACTAATGAAAGTACCAATGAAGGTAACTATTCCGATTTCATTGAAGTTACAGATTAGAATAACTTGAGAAATTTTGATTGGATTATGATCCATAGACGAAAAAAAGGATTGAATAATCATTCTATGATGAAAATAGAATAACTGCCTTTTTTGTGTTGTGTGCATAGGAGGTACACACTATACAATCAAATAGAAAATTTTTTTCTATTTTATAGTATTTTTATAGGTAGAATTGATTGGTCATACCTATCCAATAACCTAATATGAGTGACTTGTTATTCACTCGGTTTTTGGGTCATAATCAGTATGTAGGAGAGATGGCTGAGTGGTTCAAGGTGTAGCATTGGAATTGCTATATAAGCTTTTGTTTACCGAGGGTTCAAATCCCTCTTTTTTCGTCCTTTCAGCTAATTCACTAATCTTACTAACCACAATGGATCAAATAGCAATGGATATGACTATTCCAATAGATAGACCTTTCTTTGATATAGATTCTTTATTCCTAATTGCTTTCGGAAAAAAAATACTAGAAAGAAAAGAGTAGATAAGGAATGAAAACCTCCCTCTCGGTCTATGATACCTAAATGGTATAAAAATGCGGATCAAACCCTTATTTATCTTAACTTATGTCGCTGAAAAGAGAAAAATTGTTCGAATCTTTGTTATTTTCGTTAGGTTTAAGTCTGATGTGAATAATATTCTACGACTAACAATTCATTTATTTTCAAACTGACCCATTTACTATCTATTATTTGATTGACTAATCCTTTATATTTGAATAGGTGAAGAGTTAAATGTTTTGGCAATTCCTCATGAAGGGATGAATCGAGAGAATTTTGAACCAGAACTATGGATTTTTGTTCATCCCTTGCCATAATAATATCTCAAGGTTTGCAACAATAACTTGGTATATCTACTATACTACCATTAACTAAAATATGTCTTTGATTAACTAATTGGCGGGCTCCGGGAATAGTCGGAGCCATATCCAATCGAAAAAGGATGTTATCCAAACGTATTTCAAGTAATTCTAGTAAAACCTGACCAGTTGACCCCTTGACTTTTTCGGCGATACGAATGTATTTAAGTAATTGTCGTTCTGTAAGATCATAATGAAAACGCTATTTTAGTTTTTCTTCTATGTGAATGTTATGGCTTTCAAAGGGCGAGTAAGGGAGGGGAGGAGGAGGGGACAAAGCCCCTAGATTTTAAAGTTCAGCCCTACCTATAGTAGAGTATTTTTTTTCCCTAAGTTATATCAACATAGCTAGCTAGAAACTCATCCGCTTGTCAATTCTTGGTGTAATACTCACTCGTAAATGATTGTTGTCAGAATTTTCCACTGATCAAGTGTGATTAGTCTCATCTGTATAAGAATTAGGAATTCCTCTTCCAACTCGTCTCAGAATGGGAATTGTGACAAAGAACAAGATGAAAAAAAAAAGGAGGATGTATCCAATAGTAACAAATGGTGCCTCCACAGATTGACATCTGATCCAACCTAGTAGTAAGTGATCTGCCAAAAGCAAACAAAATATTCCTTGGTGAATCGGGCAAAAACTTGAACTATGTACCTACATACTTTTTAAAAAAGGTAAATCCAACATACATATCAATATTGGTGCTATTGTGGCTACACCTCTGATTTGTCAGGTATACTACGAAGAAAGGCATGGATTGGTAGAAAATACCATTCCGACACAATATGAGGCGGGGTGGGCATCAGATTAACAGGTATATAATTGTCGGGATGCACCAAAACATTCGGAGCATAAAAAATCCAAATGGAAGAATAGATAGCAAAATCTACCCAACCTACTAGATCATTTACATAAAAATAAGGGTAAGAAGCAATTTTATCCATCTTTTAATGTACACCCAATGGATTATTTGATCCATATTGATGCAATGTGGCTAGATGAGGAAGACTGGTGCCTACTAAAATAAAGGGAAGTAACTAATGAAGACTAAAAGAATGATTTAAGGTGGCATTGTCCACAGAGAAACCGCCCCAAAGCCAAGTCACTATGGTATCTCCTACTATAGGCATGGTGCTAGCTAAGTTTGTAATTATTGTAGCCCCCCAATACCTCATCTGATCCCAAGTTGGTACATATCCTATAAAAGTTGTTAGAATCATTCATAGGAAGATGACAACTCCAAGACTCTGAACAAATTCCCTAGGACTATAACTTGCATGATATAGACCACGAAAAATATGAAGGTGAACCACAATGAGAAACATGCCCCATTAGCATGCATATAACAGAGCAACCAGCCCCTTCAACATCTCTCATAATATGTTCTACGCTATTGGAAGCTGGATCCACATGAGATGTGTGATGTATAGCTAAAAAAAGCCAGTCACTATTTGAATGACTAAACAAATACTGGCTAACGGACCGAACCCCCACCAATAACTAAGATTGCTTGCTGATTAAGTATGCAGGATATATGTTGTTTAAGAAAAGAGAATCATTGGCTCCTTATAGTCATTTCTTTCTTTTTTATATCGTGACAACTCTTATTCCCCCACCTTTTAGCGTTCTGGGGCCCTATTATATATAATTATAGTGCCCTTTCTTCCATCTCCGAAGAATGGGGGTATACAGTGAAAGAATTGTCGATTACTCGGTGACCGAATCTGAGAGGTTTTAACCGCTTTCTTTTCTCTCCAACATTCTTGGACTGATCATCTTGTTGCAACAAAGCAAGCATAGGAATAAATCTAATGGAAATTTAGGTCTCTTTCCGCTTAGAAGATTTTTTTTTTAATTTCCTCTTCCTTTGTTGAAAAAGGGCAAAGGTGTGTGGAGGAAATTAATTGGGGGTCCACCAAGCGGGATAGAAGATTTCGGTGAAAAGAAGAGAAGATTTCATCCACCAAGCAAGATAGAGTGCAATCCCTAACCAATTGGGGATTCTTGCTCATCTCTTGGGGTCCATATCATCTGAAAAAGTTTCCTATTTCATTAGCATAACTAAATTGGAATAGGATGACTCAGCGTCAAGAAAAGTAAGCCCCCTTGCCTTGATTGAATTTGGCTTCGTTGTGCCCTGAATCAATCAATAAGCTTTATTAATTTGATTCATACCATTTCATTTGGGCAAGTGGGAGGCTGTGGAGGAGTCACCAGGGATTCGGATTTATTAGTTGGTTGATTCTTGAAATTGCCTCTTGAAAAATAAAAGGCCCTCGACTCCCAAAAAATGAATGGAAAGCGAGGTGAGGGTCTTTCATTAAAAGAAGGGGGAGAGATAAAAGAGGGGTGGGGCTTTTTTTTTTTTTGGGGGGGGGGGGGG